GACACTGTATTAGGCACCCTAGGTAACCCCCTAAAGGCCTAATAAATCTCATTTGGTCCATTTAAGCTTGCCCTGCTTGGCAAAACAAAATGACCTTTTCAGTCAACGATAAAGGGCAGCTGTAGGGCAGGCTGTAAACCATTGTATCTAGACTACTATCTACAGTAGCTATGTTCATCTTTCTCCGCCTCCAGACTTTCAACATGACTCTCTTTGCATGTTTGATAAATATCACTTTTCAGTTTTGTGCATCTTCTGAAGCTTCTTTATAACCTGAACTATGTATCGCCATTGTCCACAAATATACATGGAGTGCTGAAATACCAGCAAACATTAAATGATCAGAGTGCATTGAAAAGTCCACAGAATAAGAAATGACTGTTAATAATAATAGTGCATAATAATGGTGTTGATAGTGATTGTTAATAATAAGAGCAGGATAATTTGTTCTGCTTTGCGCAGCAGCGTGAACCACTTAACACTTGGTAAACAGCTTTGGTTGCAGTGATACATGTAGTAAATTGTCACATATGGTCTCCTACTGCAGATTTCCCTGACACACAGAGATTTTTGCCCCTCACTTAATTTTTCTTGAGAAACACACCATAATAACTGTTGATGATGCTTTCTCTCCACGAATGTATATCTTCCATGTTTAGTTCTAACCTCCATCTTATCTTTGTATAACCCCCAAACTCCTTGTCTTTGTTTTTTATTCCATATCATTCAGCTCTCTCCTAATCACAGCCTTCCATTTGTTATTAAACTCTAGATTTCATATTCTGTTTTGCAGGGCGGGGGATTTTTTCCCCCTTATCTGCTTTCTTTTGCACATAGATTGCTGTCAGTATTACCTTTTGCAATGCCCCTTCTTCCATGATAACTGGGGACATTTACCAGTCGTCAGTCAACAGTTATTTCTGTTTTCTGGTTCTTGTTCCCATTCCTTCATATTTTGCTTATTTTGATCCTTCGTAAGCTATCCATTGTGTGAACTTCTTTTTAATCAGACAATTGCCTCTTCATCTGTTTTCTGTACCTTGTATTGCTGTGTTTGCTTAAGAAAGTATTATTAATACAAACATGAGAACAGTTCTTAGCAAAGGATTTTTCAAGCCCAGTCCAATTGATGAGGAGCTCAACATTAATTACACCTTCTCAGGAGCTTGTTATTTTGGTACTTTAATTTTTCCTTCTTTCGCTATGGAAATCACATACATCCCCATTCTTATTCTATACTTACAATAACCCAGGATAGTTTACACTGAATGGTAGTGTTTGGCACTCAGTCACTTTATAATCCTCATGCCCAGCAAGAGTTTGCATTCCCTCTGGTCAAAGCAAACTCCCA